TTTTACTAAGTGTATACATTCTTTTCTTTGTCTTCTATTCATCAAGCAGCTCCTGTTCTTTCACAGCATTCAATAGGCTTCTACTCAAGAATTTTTACTCCTTTGTAGTAAATCAGCACTACTTGTTCCTAAGTTTGATTCACCCCTGAACAGAGCCAGACTTATCTGAATCTGTTTTCCAAAGTGCAATTTCTAAGACATCAAATAAGGTACTTTTACAGTTTCTGATTTTGATGAGAGACATGACAATTAAATGCAATGTGTCCTCCTGGATTGGACCCTAGAAATGAGAGGGGAAGATGTAGATCATAGGAACAGTTGTTGAAATTTGAATTTATTATATTGTATTAACAATTAACATTAAGTTTCCTAATTCTGCTAATTGTATCGTGGTTAAATAGAGAATGCCTTTTCTTTTTTGGGGGGTACTGGGGATCGAACTCCTGCCCTTGCGCTTGCAAGGCAGATGGTGAAACCACTGAGCTAATCCCTGGCCCTTTATGGAATTACATACTGAAGATTTTAAGAATAAAATGGGAAAATGTCTTCAAATAACTCTAAAGTGGTTCAGGAAATAAGTGTGTGCATTTTGGGTGTGTGTGAAAGATATACCAAAGGGTACTATTGTAAACATTTCCTCATACTGTTCTTATAGTTTTTCTCTGTTTGGGTTGCTTTTCTTCCTTATCCCACAGGGTCCAGAGTGCCATGGAACAGGTCAATGTTCAACTCTTCAAATTGAGCATGAGTAATGGAGGTGTAGAAGTTGATTCCTTCATAGAGGGAATCAATCTTAATACTGGCATGGGTGCTGGAAGAGAGGGTTCTCTTATCTCACTCACATACAGTACGGAGACAGCAGACAGCTCTCTTGTTCTCACTGATGTCTTATGCTTGTGCTTGAACTTGGCAATAAAATGGTAGACCATTCGGTTGTCAAAGTCTTCTTCAAACCAAGTGGGTGTCTCCAGCTGTAGATTTCACCTTGAAGACTCCATTTTCAGTAGTGAGGACTGACACATCAAAAGTGTCACCTCCTAAATTAAAAAAAATCAGCACATTTCTTTCAGCTCCAATCTTTTTGTCTAAGCCATAAGCAGTAGCGGCAGCTGTTGGCTCACCGATAATTCTAAGTATATTAAGACCAGCAGTGGTTCCAGCATCTTTGGTTGCCTGACGCTGAGAGTCATTAAAGCAAGCTGGCACAGTGACCACACAGCATTGGTAAGTCTTCCCAAGATAAGCTTCTGCAATTTCCTTCATCTTTGTCAGCACCATGGGAGATGCTTTTTCTAGATAGAAGTTCTTTGTCTCTCCTTTGTATTTGACTTGAACCTTGGGTCTGCCTGCATTGTTCACCACCATGCAGGGTCAATGCTTCTTATCAAACTGGACAACACCATTGAATCTACATCCAATCAGATGCTTGTCATCAAAACTGTGTTGGTGGGGCTCATTGATTTTTTGTAGCATCTCTGATAAGTTGTTCAGTGTTGGTTAAAGTGATATAATTTTGGGTGGCTCAGTTTCCCTGATCATTGGTGATTATCTCCACTTTCCCATGCTGGAAAACACCCACACAGGAGTAGGTGGTGCCAAGGTCAATGTCAACTGCAGATCCCTTCAACATGGTTGCTTGAGTATAGGTCTGGTTCTGCTGGTGAAGAGATCACACAAAAATCTCCAGAGCTGTGGGTACATTCAGTGTGCTGGGATAATATCAAATTTAATGAGCAATGCTACAGTGTCTACAAAATTCTGCTCCTGCACAGTCTGAGATATCCTAATTCAGAGTTCTTTAAGTTTTTGTCCCAGAGGAATTAGTGGTTTGGAATCAATTTTCATCCTAATATTAAAAATAGGACCAAACATTGTGATACTAAATCCCAGAATTCAGATGGCTGAGGCAGGAGGACTGCAGGCTCAAGACCAGCCTGGGCAGCACAGCCAGTTCAAAGACAGCCTGGAATACAAAGCAAGATCTTGTCTAAAGAAAGAAACAAAATAAACTAAAAAAACACTAGCTACATCTGCTGATGGTGGCACATGCATGGGATATCAGAACTCTGGGAGGTTGAGGCCAGAGGATGAAAAAGCTTCAACCCAGCTTGGCAAATTAGCAACTTGAAAAGACCTTGTTGCAAAATGAAAACTAAAAGAATGGGTGGAAATGTAGCTCAGGATGAGGGCCCAGTGTTCAATCTCCTGAACCAACAAAACAAAACAAGACAAAACAGCAGGAACTATGAAGTAAGACCTTTAATACTAGAGGGGTGGAAAGAATGCAACAATTTTATCACAGTATTGATATAAATATTTACAGCCTTCATTATTTTTTAATATAGTTTCAGATCTTCTCTCTTTAGCGGAAGAGTCAATGCCCCTAACTCGGGGGAAATTTTTATTATCTGGAAACTCAGATGGGAGATAGTCACTTGTCAAGTGCCTTGGGAGGATTGTATGCATCACACAACAGGAAAGTTGTGACTGTAATTATTGAGGTTGAAATTTAAAATTTTGCAGTTAAAAATTCCAAGAAATAGCACCTGTGAAATTTGAGAGGATTTAAATCTGGAACTCCTTTCCTCTTTTTCTGGTTCCCACTACCATCAGTTTTGCTAAAAGTCAGTCATTTTCCAGATCAACAATTCCGAACTTTTAAATTGTTACAAAATAAAACCTTTAGCCCCAGATGGTCAGCGTGTGCTCATCTGCTGATTATTTTAGGACCTTAACTAGTTCTTGGCCAGATGCCTATCCTGACCAGTTCCAGGAGGTTTGGTTCTGGAGGGACTAAAGGCTCATCCAACCCAACACCATCATTTTGTTCTATGCGATGCTTTTTTCTTTCACCCAAACCCAAAATCTTCAGGTAGGAAAGAGATTTACCTCAGCTGTTAAGAATTCCCAAGGTCTGACCCAAATGGTCAAGGACCTATTTTGCAATCTCATCACTACTTTCATTGCTCCAATTTCCTTTACTGCTATATATTGAAAATGACACATACCACCTACTCCAGAAGCTGTTACACAGAGCAAATGGATATTAGAGGACTCTTTTCTTCACTCTTCTGATATGTGTTGCTGAGGATTGAACCCAGGGTCTTGCACATACCAGGCAAGTGCTCTTACCACTATGCTACATTCCCAGCTCTACTTTTTAAAGTAATTCAGATTCTGCCAATGGGAGAGTTCAAATGAGGCTCTAATTGTTACTGAGGTATTGCAAGTAAAATGATATGAACACAGGGTAGTAAGTCTAGGTGAGAGGAAGGGAGTGCAAACATTTGACAAAAAAAAAAAAAATTTTTTTTTGGTACCCAGGATGGAACTCAGGACCTTGTGCTTAAGAGGCAAGAGGCGGAACCACAGCTAAATCCCCAGCCCAATAAATTACTTTTGATGTAAAGTTTAAATGTTAAAAGTTTGAATTCTATGAAAAGCCAAATGTCCAGTAATCTGAAGGAACACATTTAATCAGCTTGTTGGACATCAAAGGGCTCAAAAATCAGTACACAACCAATCTGTTAGGACTTTGGTAAAATACAATAGAATTATGTTAAAGAATGAATGTTCCTTAATGCCTACCCATCCTATTTAAAAATGACTTATAGGCATCAGTTAAAAATGAGTGGTTGGTAGATCTTTACATTAGAGATTAGTCAAAAATAAATTTAGCAGCCCACAGTGCCATCAAAACCAAGCAACAAAACATTGGTATGCTTCTTTTATTCTAAATTTGCATATCCCTATTCTTCTCATGCAGATTATGAGTTAAAAATCTTGTATAAAAATATCTTAAAATCTCATATAGATGAAAATATTTGCCTGTCTTGATGCTTTCTTAACATTTTAACTAGAAGCTAGTTTTTTTCCACTGAGTGATTAGCTGGTCTTTTGTGCAACCTGATCTCCCTCTCCCTCAGCAGAGCTCATGTGGGTTGGTTTTTTACTTCAGGTTGGTGAGGGATAAACTGCCCAGGCAACATACACTGCCCTTCCTTTATGAGCTTCCCCTGGCAAGGAGGCTGTTCTAGGATGATGGGCTTAAACTGAGGTGCACTTTGTGGGTGGTACTGGAAGAAAAGGGTAAGAGCACATCTTATAGCAGCTCTACCTGGATTCCAAGACTGTGTTTTTCAGATCTGAGTTGAAGTGGTGTCAGGGCCTGACTCGAAGCTTGTCAGGAAGACAGACTAGAAATAACCAAGAGACAGATGATGCTTGAGATGAGTGCAAAAGCTCAAGGAATCTTCCTTCCAAAGATGCTGGGCTGAGATGGCCTTTCTCTAGATGTGACGTGACTTGGGAAGCACGTTTGACTTTACTCTTTTCTCTTAACCCCCACAGTGCTGAGACCCCACCATTCAACTTCCTTCTCAAGCCCTCCACATCCCCAAGTCAATCCCTTCTCAGTCCCACTGCCTCATCCAGATCTTGTTTCCTACCTAAAGTCCTACAATAGCCTCCTAGCTGGTCTCTCACCATTGTGCCCACCACTCTACCTACCCCACAGCCCTGTTTTTAAAAAAAAAAATTTAATTATTTTTGAGACAGGGCCTTGCTACATAGCTCAGGCTGGCCTTGAACTTGAGGCAATCTTCCTGTCTCAGCATCCTAAGTGTTAGGATTACATGAGTCTGTCACCATACTCAGCCGTACTTGTTTTGTAAAGTTGCCCAGGGTGTTTTTCTTTTCAATAAAAATATTATGATGTCTCTTCTTTCTTAAAAGTTTTCATAGCTCCCTATTAACTTAGAAGATAACGTCTGAACTCGGTGTGTGTATAGATAGCACTAGCCTCTATTCTCCACTCCTTTAGTTCTATCTTCTGTCACCTTCCCTTCCACTTGTAGACTCTCCCTCTCACTGTCTGTCCCTTATCCATTTCGCCCACAGTGAAGTTCCAGAGAACAGAGATTTCTTTTGAGTCAAATTCCCATGCCTATAATGTTGCATGGTACTCAGTAGGTAAGCACATGTACACAAAAACTCAGAAGAAGAGTGATTAGCATGTACTTTTAATTAAAATTAACAAATCATATGAACAACAGGACTACAATAGTGTTTAATATCAACTTCTGAGAACTCACATTTATGTAAAAGAAAGGAAATAGGCTGGCAGACGTTCAAAACTGGTTCAGCTCACATTATTGCACATGGATGAAATACACCACTGAGGGCAGCAAAATACTCAGGCCAAGCCAGGAACAGAAAGAGACATACCTCCAGTCAGTGTTACTCTGGATTCTGAACTTCCTGGTGGCCTCAAAAATATTCAGCATACTGGACACATTCAATAAGCGTTTTACAAAATGACTGCAGGGTCTTCACATTTTAGTTCTGCTCATACTCTTTGTTCCAATCACGTGTGAATTTGACATAGATCTCTACCTCACATAATGGGACATCTGTAACACCCAAACCTTCCAGTGTCTGTGCTCAGGGACAGGAGGGAAGGGAGTTAATTTCTAATTTATATGTATTTTAGGGAACAGCATTGTGGCTATTGTCCCCAAAGTTTACTCAAAAAAGGCAACCTTTTGAGGTCTCTTGATTTTGGTCATTTATATCAGAACATGAGGAAAGTGACAATGAATAGGAATGAATACTAAAGGAATCCTAGGCTGCTAGTAGAAAATAAAGTACAATTTAAAAAATGTTCCCTGCCATGTTCACAAAGGTGGCAATAACTGCATGTGTAAGAGAAAGACTATAAACGTATAGAAAAGATCAACTTGCGCTTTTAAACAAATTACAAAATTGATTTGTTTTTATACCCTTGAGTGTCATACAAAAAAAAATGTAAACCTATGGACCTAGTTACCAAAGACATTTATCTTCCTAAGCCCAGGTGTGACCTTAAAGTTTGGCCTGAGCTAGTTTTATCTTCAAGTTTTCTCCAAGTTTGTCCATGAACTCAAATGTATTCAAGTAGTCAGAACGTTGCACACTAATAGGGGAGGAAACAGAAAAGAAAAGAAAAAAAGGAAACTTAGTTTGTCTCTGAGATGACAGGAAATAGAACAAAAAAATCCAGGAAATACTGCTTAAGGTAGTGTTTTCTATTTACTTCTAAAAGGAAATCAATTAATGTTAACAAGCTATAATCTATAGGCGATGACTATACTCAAGGTTCTAGGGGTTGACCCAGGTCCAGGACTCAGGCTGTGGGCAGCTTGTGAGGGAGTCTCCTCCACTCATGGAAGTCGCCTGCCATGAAGCTTTGAGGCTGAAATTATTCCAGAGCTTAGTTCACACTAAAGCCAGTAAGATCAAATTCATCCCACTTTCATCATTCTGAGAAATAATGAAACTTATTAAGGGTACAATCGTGCCTTTACCTACATTTCCACATGTTCTCCTAAATCCTTAAAACAAGCTTTAATGCTCTTAAGAAAACTAAAAGATAATATACTGGCTGCCATAATCCTGGCAGGTAAATGCCTATCACTCAGGTTACAAAGATCCTATATTGATAGTAACATGTCAAGCTAAGAAACACAGTAATAGAGTACATACCTTTTACTGGGATACACTGATCGTGAGATCTCTGGGAAACACTGGGACAGATATTGGTGCTCAATTGTAGCAGAATTTCTTGAGGTGAATCATAGTCTCTAACTCTGACTTTGAGGAGGGGTATGATTTAGCAGCTAATACAGCTGGGACACTGGCAACCATGCCCTCAGAAACACCCTGGGCAACACACAGGCCCTTGATTATGGGACTAATAGTTACAGATACTAAAAGGATATTTTATCATTTGGAATCAAATGGACATGTTATACTTGAAACTGCTTACTTTTTTCATTTGTAAATTTAAAAAAAGGGTAGAATAAGTTAGCCTCATAATTACCTTTGCAATTGTCTTATTTTCTTCCTAAAATCAAACAGAACCTTTTCATTCAATGATTGTTAATAAGATTAGAGATCAGCAAGTTACTGTCCAGCCCACAGACCAAATGTAGCCTGCAGCCTAGTTTGCACATGAAAGTATGACTGCTGTGCTGCTTTATCCTGTTTCTGTACTGTCTTCACTACTTTCCTGATACAACGTACACACAAAATTGAGATTATGCATAGTTACAAAAAGATTCTATGTCCCATTAAGCTAAAAATGTTCTCTATCTGATAATTCACAGGAACTATCTGTTGATTCCTAATGAGGATGTCGAATAACAATTAATATTCTAAAAGGCACTGGTGTTTGAGGCCAGTGAGGACAAGTGATAATCTGACCAAAGTTTGGGGCATCTTACACTTACTTGGGTAAACCTTTAATGCAAGCAGCCAAGTCCTTGGTCATGAAGCCAGCCTCAATGGTCTCAACGCAGACTTCTTCCAAAGCTTTTGCAAAGAAGCTAAGCTCAGTATTGTTATCAAGCTTTGCTCTGTGGGCCAACCCTCTGGTCCAGGCAAAAATGGAAGCTAAAGGGAGAAACAAAAACCCCACACTTCTATCATCTCAGTTCTAGGGATCTCAAATGTTTCACATTTCCTTCAAACAGAAAAGTATTTGCTTAGGTGATATACGTCATTAGATGCTATCCAAAAGGACTGGAAGTTTTAGAAAAGTTGAAAATACTTTGCCCAATAGAAACTTGAAAATTCACACTTTTATGGTGTGGCACTAGTGCCTGAAGCTTAAGGCACATATGCTACTTTAGAAAAGGCCACTCATGAATTTTCTATCTGTGTTGGTCTCTTCTTTCTAGGCTGTAACTGCTTTGTAAAGTGCTCTCCTTGACACCTTCATGCAAAGATCTATCCATGTAGCTTTTTATTTATAGACTTTAAATTTCACTGCACAGGGGTAAAGGAAAATGCTTGCTGACAATATTTCTCTCTGTAACATCTACTTTCCCACAAAACAGAGAAGCACTTGCTGTGTGTTTTAAGAAGTATCTTAAAATAGCTCCTACTAGAAGGAATCAGCTAGTTAGTGATGATTTTGGATACCCAACACTGAGCACCCAAGGGACGTGTCTGAGCTCCTCTGGGTCACCCTGGCAAGTGTTCTCTGGTCGGAAGTCAGTGCAGAAGTGTACAGCATCTTACCAATAGGATTGGTGGATGTCTCCTGTCCCTTCTGGTACATACGGTAGTGGCGTGTTACAGTCCCATGAGCAGCCTCTGCTTCTACTGTCTTGCCATCTGGACAAATCAGCACGCTGGTCATCATGCCAAGGGAGCCATAACCTGTAGGCCACAGAACATGAAGTATCAGACCAAATGCGTGAAGAGCACTGGCCTCTAAGACCTGAGGACAACTGACTCAAATCTTGTCAGGTCTTGGGAAACAAAGTAAACATGAACACATGGAGTCATCACTAACTCTTGCCTTTCAGAAAGCAGAGATCTTGCTTGTGAAGGGGTCTGGGAAGGGTGTGATGTTTCCTCACTTGTCTCAGGGGTACCTGCTCCATGATGGAGTTCTGACTGCATTTCACCCTTGTTCTCTGACCTCATGCTACTATAACTTAGATTTCCTACCTGTAAGTGGGGATAACCAAAGGGATTAGATGAAAATATATTCCCATTCCTCAGCACAGTACATGCTATAGAGTAAAAAGCTCAGTACATTACTGTTCGCTCTATATGAGGGTGTTCTGGGGTCATACTGTACAGACTTGCTGGGATGAGGAAGAAAAGGGAGGCAAAAAGAGCAGGGGTTGGACCCAACACCCCACTTGCTTGTTTTCTTTAGTAAACTCAACAAAACAATTCTCTTCTGTGGTTTCCTATTCAGAGAACCATATTCTAATTTATAAGTTCGTGCAATTGAGTTTTCCTCTTTTGCGCACTCTTTTTCACCCGAAATCACGGAACCCTTTTCTTCTTTTCTTCACTTTTGCTACCCTCCATGAGCATCTGTGAAGTTAGTAATGTAAACTTATAAAAGAGTGCTACCTTCTTCAAGCCTAACCTGGTCTAAGACTAAGTGGAATCATTCAATTATACTTATTCTTTGGTCAATTTTCAGTGCCATTAAGAGATTTCTGTGTGGTATCAGTAGCTTCTTTCATATTACCATATTCTCCCTGTATTTCATAAACATTCAGATGTTTATTAATTAGAAAAGTTCACAGTCACCATACCAAAGTAAATGTATCTATCAACTAAGACTAGGAGACACAACCCAGTGCCACTATCAGATCTGAGTCCAAAATAGCTCACACCTCTTGAGAAAAACAGCTCTGCTGCCTCCCCGCCCCCCAGTACCAGGGATCGAACTTAGGATTTTGCACTTGCCAGGCAGGCACAGCACTGCTACCTCTCCACCCCTGCTGCCTTTTAACCTGTTGAGTAGCCTAAGACCAATGACCTTTAGGCTCCGGACCAACACTAGATCTTGGGTAGATCTCTCTTCAGGAATTGCCAACTTTACACCTCTTATTTCAAAATCCTCTGGATTTCCTTAATTTGGCATTTACATATGAAATATTTCTCTACTCTCTTCTTGTTGCCATCAGAACACTTAAAACAATGGAGTAACTTTGGGTCCCTGTCCCAGAACTCTGAATACAAGGAATAATTGTCCTTATCTTCTGTGGAGTCACCATAAAGCACCACTCCTTCCTGTATGCATTCGGCACAAGTGATTGTGAAGATTTAGGGACACAGAAGGAGGGTACAGTTATGTAACTCATATATCTGACATGAAAGATATTTTTCACTGGGCTGTTCTGACTTTCAAACTGATAAGAGATATTTGACTTTCATAAGAGAAAAAGTAATGTACTTTCTGGGAAAAAGCAAACATGATTGAGACTAACACAACATTCACAAACACAGCCACCATGTGGAACTGGAACTGGAAAAACAGCTTGGTGCTAAGGAAGTAAGATGGGGGAGAATTTCTGATGATTTAGCGTTCACCCCTGGCATGAAGCACTCGGTGTCTTGAATTTCTGTGAACAGTGTTAGGCTTCTATGTTCATTGTTTTGTGTTGAAAGCTGGGCAGTAACTGTTTGTGTTAAAAAGTACTAGAAAAGCCTTTGAGGTTAGCCGAAGGAGGATGGTTTATGATTAGGACCTGCTGCCAGATGAACGAGCTCTTACAGACACCAACCTTGGTTGACAGCCAATCCAGGGCCTTCACTATCTCTCCTTGACTGAGTACCCTGGCATTTTTACATCATGTTAAGAACTGGAGAGCAAGGAAAGGGAAATTTTTTCTTTTTGTTTTGTTTTTTTGAGACAGGGTCTCACTATGTAGTTCAGACCGCTCTGGAACTCACTGTGTAGCCCAGGCTGGTCTTGCACTAGCAGTGATCCTCCTGCCTCAGCCTCCTGAATGCTGGGATTATAGGTGTGCGCCACCATGCCCGGCAGGGAATGTTTTTCAGATCAGGTATTTGGCTGTCTATTGGAGGAAAACTTCAAGTAGGGAAAAAGGTTGAAAGAGAAATTGTCATTAAGCTCCTTTTTTTTTTTTTGGTACTGGGGATTGAACTTGGGTCCTTGCACTTGCTAGGAAGGCACCGGAACCACTCAGCTGAATCTCTGGCCCTTGACTGTTATTAAGTTCTAAGGCTGGAGTCAGGGGTGTCAATGTACCCAGTTACTGTACTTCCTATGTGGCGTTGAATAAAATCAATTCCCCAGTCTTAGCTTAATTTCCTTATCTGTCACATGAGAGGAAGGACCTGATGCCTTGCAGCACTAACATTTCATGATTTTACAACTAAAAGCTGCAAAATCCCTCTTTCCAAGCTGCACACCTCATTGCTACCAGCCAGGCTCCCCTTCCACTCAGTCCTCTGGTCCTTACCTTGAGCCACAGAATCTGACTGTACATCACCGTCATAGTTTTTACAGGCCCAGATGAAGCCTCCCTCTGACTTCATAGCTTGGGCCACCATATCATCAATGAGCCTGTGCTCATACCAGATCTTCTGTGCCTCAAATTGGGATTTGTACTGCCTAAGAAACAGCAGAAAAACAAAGAATGATAAAGGTACCTAAAAGAAATTGGTTTTGTTTCTCCCAACGGGGACAGTGGGTAGAGATAGGAAGCGGTATTTTTAGTAGAGGTAGCACAAACTTGGGAAGCCAATAGAAATAGGCTCAAATCCCTGCCCAATCATTTTCTGGCTGACAATACCACCAGGCCTGACTCGAACTCACACATCTGAAAAAGCAGAACTTTCTATCACTAACAGGGGACTTTGACTCAAACATTAAAACAGCATTGCTCTGTAAAAACGTTATTTAAGAATACTTTTCTTGGGTGAAGGGAGGGCAGGGACAAGGGGAAAAAAATGGGAACCAAGACCTGTCATGTAAAGGTACAAGATCCCAGTAATGAATGTAACTGTACTGTATACCTAAAATGTACCAATAAACTCAATGAGGAAAAAAAAGAATACTTTTCTAAAAGCAACTCAGCATGCTTTTGTTTCACCTCTTTAAATCTCAATTTTGTCATCTACTTGATAATTTTCGCTTGATTTGTCCTAGAGTCAAAGGGTTAAAGAGATGGAGATTCTGTTCTATAAATGCCAGCTTACTTGAAAAAGAAGAGAAAAATGAATAAAACAACTGTAGTTACTTGTCATATATGTCCTGAAAGATGTCTTTAAAGCGTCCATCATATTTTTTCAGAATAGTGTTTTTGGTGCTCAGATACAAAGGCCAACCCTTAGACAGAGCCATTTGGAAGGAACTGTGTGCAAAGTCTTCAATTGACTTATCTTGATTGTACATCCCCATGGCGACACCACCACCCTCTGCCGAGAGAGAAAACAGGAGGAAAGTAAATGTGGCAGAGGTGTAATACAGATAGATAGTCACCCACCACAACCAAAGGATCAAGGCTCAGCTCTCACAACTGAGGCCAGACTACCAAAGTCCCAGGAAGGCTTCCACCCTACATAGTATATGAGTTCCCAAGGCACAAATGGAACAAAAGTCAATTTTACATAAGGATATTCTAACTTGTTTTGGAAGGGAACTAGAAATAAGCAAAACATATGGGCTTTTTTTTTTCTTTTTTTGTGGTACCAGGGATTGAACTCAGGACCTTGTGTATGACAGGCAGGCAACACCAACTGAGCTAAATCCCCAGCCCACATATGGTCATTAAGATATTAAAATACCAAAAACTACTAATATAAGCCAGAAATGTGTTAAAAAAAATGGGTACATAATTTTGAATCTGACTTTTAAGTACTACAGTATCCAATGTGTATTTTAAATCTAAGTGTGTACTCAATTCTTGGTTGCTGAGAAAGATCTGCATTTCAAATAATGAATGAAAGTCCTTGTAATTTCTTGGAGGATATGAAGCTTGCCTACTTAACTGGTGGAAGTAATTGTGTTACAAGTTATCACTGGTGTTTCACAGCTCTTGTTAGTTGAACTCTGTTATTACTGAAAGTCAGAACCGGAACCCGTGCCAATGACCAAGGTTCACTTGGCTCCGAAACAGAAAAATGCTCAAACCTGCTTAACTAGATTCTATTGAAATGATATCATTTAGAAGCAAAGAAAATAAAAGGTAGGGTTTTTGTCTGTATGAGTGCTTTTAACAACTTTTGGATGGGCTTTGCCCTAAGGGACATTTGAAGCAGTTGAGGAAGAAGCAGAAAGGAAATGTTTTACTTTCCACAGATTAAAAAAGTAGGACAGGAAGAACAATAAATAAAGCACCCAGTTCCAAATGTAAACCAGCCCGAAGGGCAAGATTATCTGATAGCTGACTTGGGGCTTTTAACATTAATGTACACAATTTGTGAAGAATAGACTTTTGCCAGCCTTCCCTTCATGTTTTCAGACAGGAGTATACTGTCATTATTTACTTGTCTTTGCCTACATTTCTGATTAAGCAGCTAACCCCTTTGTGCCTGTATGTATGCCGTGAGAAGGCATGGAAGACAATTACTTCTTTTATGTTGGATTTTGGGTTCTGCAGAAATCCTATAGATTAAGTTGTATTTTTAAGCAGTCACATAATTAACTCTAAAAAACCAGTAATAATGATTAGATTGTATTAAAGGAAAATATAGCTCGTGATGGACTCACACTTACCTTCAAAGTTATGCACCAGGTGTGTTACCTTCTGGGCTCCATCCCTTGGTGTGTAGGTTATCTCTACTTTACCAGGTCCAGGAACAACAAAATCAGTTGCTCTATACTGTATGTGGGGGGAAAAAGATATCAAGATAAGAAAAACATTCTAATAGAAATTACAAGAAGACACCTAGACAAACAGGGTGGGTTAGCTTGACCTTTATCTTGGGGATGAAGAAGAGATCCAGAGAGCTCTTCTAGCTAGTAGTAGTAGGCATTAAATTCAGTAAATATTCATTAGGTGCCTACTATAACAGGGCAGTTCTAAAAGAACTAATTGGGGTAGGGCAGGGAATAACATAAGGCACTTTCTTTAAGGAAGCTTACAACCTAATGAAGACTAACATAAATAAGAAGCAACAAAAAAGGTTTCAAATGTCAAAAGGGGAACCAGGGGAGGTATAACAAAACAAAACTACAAGGATGTGAAGAGAGTTGACCGTGGCCTAGAGGTAAGAGAATTTCTGGAGGGAGGTGCTAATAATTCTAATTGTAGTACTGAAGACAATGATGAGAGTACTAACAATGTGGCCTTACTACATACCAGGTGCTGGAAGTACTGATCTCACTGGATTTGTACACAATCCTACAAGGAAGTAACTATGACACAGTGGAAAAGATGCACACAGGCTCAAAAGGCTTGGAATCTGGTCCTCAATTTAGATATTCAGGGCTCAATCTCCCCACAGTTATCAGTGTTACTAACACTAGGTCTCTGTCCCGAAGAAACCATCATGCTGAAAGAAATTATGACAGGTTGATGGCCCCAATAAAAGGGCTGTTCAAAGATAGCCTCTAGCTTTACGGTCTTGAGTGAGTGGAGAAATGAACATACCCAGGGCACACTGGGCTTCCCAAAGTCATTGCTGCATTTAACCTCCTTTAGTGACTAGGATTAATTCAGTGCCTTGCAGTTAAGTACCAGCCACACCTATTAGTTTGTAGTAATACTAGCAACAGCTGGTAAAAGAACAGTTGGGTAACAAAAAAGATTAAATATCTACTCTGTTCAGAATACTTCTGACATAAAAGTCCTTCACCATAGAGAGTAACTTGTTCTCATTTTTCAAAAGGAAGAAACTGAGGCACCGAGGGATCATAAAAGCTTTGCAGAGACCTACCCATGTACTTAACAGTCAGTGAATCAATGTGATGCGTGAAATTTTCAACCCGGACTTTAAAAACTAGAATGGCCATTCTACCACATGACTAAAGCCATAAAAAAAGTAAAAACGAAAGACAACAAAGAGGACAAAAAGAAAGACTGAACCAGTAAGAACTCAAGGTGGTGTTCCCAGGATTAAGGAATTTGTACTCTTACTATCAATGTCCCCTCGCCTTGGTCACTGGGGGGTGTTTGTGAAGGACTGACTAGGGTGAAGGGACAGTTTGAGCCACAAGAGTTACCTGATGCCCAAGGAATGAGTTGGTGACATGTCCCTAGGAACAGAGAGCCATCTATGCTAGGCACTGTGTTCAGAACTGACTACATAGCTAGATTTCACCATTACAAATTCCTGTTTATGACATGAGCTACTTTCTATGAAATTCTGAAACCTCAGTGTCAACACAGCAATCAGAATCTGTTTAGCTAGAAGTTTTTCTGCTTAACTTGGCAATGAACCTACGTACACAGCAGTACAAAAACTACATTTGTTTTCTAAGCAGGAAGGAATACTTTAAGGAGAGTGTTTTCAACTACTTGATCAGTTTGTCTTTTATAAAAAGTTTAATACAACTGTTTAATATAATCTTTGGTGGTTTTCAATTCTGCATGCATAGTTTAAACCCCACTGAATTCAGATTTCAGATATGAGTTGGGTAAGATTCAAATACAGGAATTAAGGCAGAAGAACAAACAAAAAAGTCAAATCAAAACCAAATCACTGAAAAACTCCTAAGGGGATCCCATTGTGAGCTTGTGTTGAAAACCACTGGTCAAATTTGATCATATGAAATTACCAACACAAAAATGGCAATATTATATGGTGTAAAGGATAAACGAAGAGAAAACATGTTAGGCAAAAAATCGTATTTGTCCAAATGGGTTATGAATATTTATCTCTACCTAAATGTGTGCAAATATGTAGCTATACATATCTGCATTTCTCAATTTTGCTTAAGAATAAAACATGCCAGTTGGAACTGCTGGACCACACAAAAAAACATGAAGAATCAAATTATGCCAAAATGACTTACTTGATCCCCATAGGCATGACGACCGATGATGATGGGTTTTACCCATCCAGTCACAAGCCGGGGGATATTTTTACAGATAATGGCTTCCCTGAAGACAGTGCCACCCAGAATGTTTCGGATGGTGCCATTTGGTGATTTCCACATCTGTTTCAGCTTGAATTCCTCAACCCTCTTCTCGTCAGGGGTGATGGTGGCACACTTGACACCAACATTGTATTTCTTTATGGCTTCTGCAGCGTCCTTGGTGACCTGGTCATTGGTGGCATCCCGATTCTCTATGCCTAAGTCATAGCTTGGGAAGGGAAAAAGGATAAATACAACTTCTCAGCCAAACTGATAGGTTATAATGGGCGACCACAATAATGGTATGCAGTTTGCCATACAGAAAGTGAAGGTCCCTGAACATACCCTAATCTGTCAGGCTTTAAAAATGAATGCATACCCTAAACACAGAAGGAACTCAGACAGACTGGAGGGTCTGGAGACAGTACAGTCTCCTTGTACTATCATGGAAAGCTATCTACCAGGAAACTAAAAACCAACAAACACTGCCAAACTACCTCCTGTTATTCACCATATAGAAGCAATCACACACAAACACACACACAAAGCAGCAATCACATAAGCAACCTTTGGCCTGGTTTCCCACCACATACTTAGCACACAAATTAAACCTAGCTACCACCTTCATCTTTCCCTTAGTGAAATTGTGCTGTTTAAAAAAGGGATGGAAAGCTTGTGTTTGTGTATTTTGGCATTAAAGTGGCGGTAGAGATAGATGTTTCCTTCATTAATGCTGGTTAATTATGTGGGGAACCTCCCTCTGGGTCTTAGGCAAGTCTCTTTGTTCTGGAAACAAGCCTATAATGTACTGGGTAAGCAATGGAATCCACCAACGCTCTTGTACATGCTGAAAAATTTTAGCTCAAGATATACCAACACCTATTTTGCAGGTCATTCAGAGCTTAATGAACGCTGGTTGTCCACGGAGCATAGAAAATGACTGTAAAGCTTTAAAGTGTAATAGCTGTTGAAAGTAATAAAAAAAAAATGTAACTAGTTTATTCCCCAAGACTTTAAAGCCCTCAAAATTGCTAAACCATGAATATTACTTTAATTTTTAGATCTTCCTTTCCTTGTATAGCCCAACTGCTGACACAAGTACAAAGATTGCAATCTTGATGCATTTATGGTTATTTGTTTTTATTTTTGTGGTACTGCTGAACTATAACTGCATCCCCTTTTTTAGTTTTTATTTTGAGATGGGGTCTTCCCAAGTTACTACACTGCCCAGGCTGGTTTCAAACTTGCAATCTTCCTGCCTCAGCCTCCCAGAGTGCTGGTGCAGGCCTGGATCACCATATCTGATGCTTGATTTACTTTGTTTTTTTTTTTTTAAGACAATATCACTTTGTAGAGCAAGATGGCCTCAAACTCACAGCAATCCTCAAATTCCCTAGTGCCTCAGCTTCCCAAGTGCTGGAATACAGGCAGGCACCACCCTACCATGCCTAGCTTCATTTCTAGCTTTGATCTTTGATAATTCACGTAAATCTAACAAAGCCATATACTCTATCTTCTGGCCTAAGGAGTCCTGAGTATCGACAAATGTCTAATCCTAACTCCTTAAGAAGTATAGTCAGCATTTTCATGTTCTAGGAACCATTTCTCAGAAGAATCTACTAGAAAATTGATACTTTTTTTTTTTGCTTATTTCCCTAATATTTCTAAGAGAAAACAATGAGTGTTCTGAGACTGCTGGGCCTAGTGGCACACACCTGTGATCCCAGGACTTGGGAGGCTGAGACAGGAGGATCGCTGCAAATTCGAGGCCAGCCTGGCTACACAGTAAGTTCAAAGCCAGCCTGAACTGCATAGCAAGACACTGTCTCAAAAACCAAAGGTAAAAAAGTTATTAGACCACTGTTTACCTATGGAGTATGATCCCCAAAAATGGTGGATGGTTAAATTTTAACAATGTGACAGTAAAAGTCACATTGCCACTGACCCCCCTTAACAAATTCCTTCTCACTCTGAATACACTTATCCCATCATTGCTGCCACTTTCTGAAACAATTTGAGAACTTTGCTTTCATGAGCATCTTTAGTTGTCATGGCTGCCTCAATGTCCTGAAATGACTCAAAACACTTAGCTTTTCCTGGTCATTTTGACCTTGGGGAAGAGCCAGAAGTCACTCAGTGCATCAGTGAATATGGTGAATGAGGATACATTTTATGAGCCTGCCTTTCTGTTGGATGGCACTTGGCAGCAGTGTTCACTGTGTTTTTTTATTATACCTCATAGGGACATAAAAGAGGACTAGACTACCAGAACAGCTTCAGAAAGTGGCAAAAGGGTTGGGACGAGTGTATTTGAGGAAAGGAGAAGTATTCTGAGAGGGAATAACAGCAATGTGACTTTTACTGCAACACAATTTTTTTATTAGTCATTTCTTATTTTGATCACATCTTGTACATAAAATAAACAAACTAACCACTCCCCTCTTCTTGGTAATAATGGTAATTTTGGTTTTTTTGGTATTGGGGATCGAAATCAGGACTTCATGCCTGCTAGAGAGGCGCTGTGTTGCTGAACAACATCCTGGCCCAAACAATAGTATTTTGGAATAAATTAAAATTCTTTTGAGCCTCCAATAGTTCCTTGGACTGTAACCACTGAGTTTTCTTCCTAGCCATAAGTACTCCATATCCAAAAAGTGAGAGGCTCAAAGTATCTTTGTAATCATTATATTGGACCCACAGAGTCTTCCAAGTTCACCCACTGTAATACAAAGCTCTGAAATGGGTGAGTTCACAATATGCTTCTTCAACCCACTTGGAAGATGGTTTCTGAGGTAGGGTCTTGCTATGATGTAGTTCAGGCTGGCTTTGAACACACTACATAGCCCAGGCTGGCTTCAAACTTAGGGCAATCCTGCCTCAGCCTCCCAAGTGCTGGGATTACATGCATGTGCCACCACACCCAGTTTGGAAGCTGTTTTTATGCTTCCTTTCCTCTACATTTGGTCAACCTCTGGCAGAAAGCCTCTGCATCTTTATCATGGCTACACTGTAATGTTATCAGCAACTTAGGGTAAGAACAATTAAAAAGGGTGCCTAACAGCATCACAAGAACTGCCTACAGCCAAGCTAGTAACAAGTCGTTAGGATGAATTCTGAATAAATTTGGGTCAGGGCAAACACACTTGTAGTTGCCAACAGTTTGTCAGAAATGTTATTCAGTATTATACCACACCAGTCTTCCAGCACTTCATCCTTTAAATAATTCTATCTCATTCAAATGTACAAAAAGCAAGAGCAAGCTCATGGAAAACATGGGAGGAAAATGAGAGAATTGCCCAGACTTTCATATTTGCCTCTCAAATACTGTAATCTAGCACAAAGGAACGCAGATAATTTCAGGGAACTGCTGCTGGAAGGTGAGTATTGAATTAAGTCACTGCAAGGGTTTTTTTCTGTGCTGCAATTGTATAAAAAGGGCAAAAGGCAGGAGGAACAACAAGGGCAAACATCACAGACTAATTAAATACAGTGGTAGAAAACTGAGCTTGAAAGGGCAAAATTGTGCTTACTACATTTAGTTTATTGTTTCTTACATCCTCTATTTCTCTTCCAGAAATAACACCTTGTGCTAGTGATTTACTACAAGTAAGACTTTTCACAGGAAAGAAGGTTAGAAAGACCTGATAATCACTGTTTCCCTCTTAATTCTTGACAGTTGAGTAAAAACCCAGTTTTTCTCGAAGTTTAAAGTAAAAGATTCATCTCAATATATTTGGGTTAAAAAAAAAGCTTTAGTCACCAAACATAGCTATGTTTATTTTACATAACTAGTTATACTCTGATATAATCCAGATTATGTTTTCTGAGTTTGCTACCTATATGGACAATTATTCATTTACCTATGCAGATCCAGTTCCACATAAGGAAAAATGAGTTTTTCTTTAATCAGTTCCCAAATGATTCGTGTCATTTCATCTCCTTGCATCTCTACCACAGAACCACCATGGATTTTTTTGGACATTTTTACTGATGATAAACCTGAAAAGAAAAAACAAGATTGGCCTTGTCATTTATTTCACTGGAGTAAAAATGAAATATAAACAATTTGGTGACTCCTAAAAGAACATACAAAAAGCTAGTTAGCAATGATTACTCTCACGGTTAGAGCTGATCAGCACTTTATTAGTATGAAGTGTTATGTTAACATACTTCACATGTGGTTTCTGAGTCAGCCCTATAAGATGGAAATTACTTTCCCATTTTAAGAGAAAAATAGCATTGCTGAGGACACCTGGATAGAACATGGAGGGATGGGGTGAGCCTGTAACATACCCTTAATAAAGCCATCTTTTCAATTACTAGTTTATCTTAGGAAATGATGTCTTTCTATAATATCACATTATTTGAAGCTTCTACTCAACTTTTTTTACTGGGCCTCCAAGATGGCAGGATGAGGACATGCACCCAGCTATCCCCCTTCTTGGTATCTTTCAGAAAGAATTAAAAGTATCATGAAACAGTGATATATGCACACCCATGATTATAGTGGCACAGTTTATAATAGCTAAATCTTAGAAGCCACCCAAATGCCCATCAGCCAATGAATGGATAAAGATGTGATTTTTTTATACAATGGAGTACTACTCTGCCACAAAGAAGGATAAACTTAAGACATTTTTAGCTAAATTGATGTACTTTGAAAGCATACATACTCTTAAAGTGAAATAAATCGAACACACATTTAAATACTGCACTGTTTTTCTGGTGTGAGAAACCAGAGAGGTAAATAAGGACAAAAATGTATAGCAGATAATGGGAAATGGGAAGAAAATGTTCAAATGGGAAGGGGAACGAGGGAGGTGGGAGGGAAAAGGGAAGGAAGGGAAAATAAAAAAGAATAGAAGGGAAAAATGGAAACAAAGCTTTTGTAAATAAGGAGGGGAAAAGGGATTAAAGGAAGGGGAGTTGGAAAAGTGGGAAAAAAAGAAGCAAGATACATCATGTACAGGTACAAATTCCCTAGGATGAATCTTATCATTATGTATATCTAAAATGTACCAATAAAAATTAATAAAAAAAGAACGAGGACAATCAACTGGTTCTTGAGCCAGGAAACTTGGAAAGTAAAAGATTTAGAATTCCTGATGGAACACAGACATCAGAGATGTGATTCCAAATACAAAGGTAGTTTGTCAGAGAAACTGAGGTATGGAAGGGAAGTGTGTCCCTCTGTCCCTCAACTCCTACCCTGTGGATTACCAGTGATGCAGGTGAAATGGGAACACTGAGTTGCTCTAGAGGGGATGGATGTGTCACTGTGTAAGAATGAAGTGTGTGGGGGGAGCAAATACTAAATAATCAACCTCACTGCCAGAAAAGAATAGCAAACCCTTCAGAAGAAGCCAAACAGTGAAGCTTCCAAAGCCATGTCCTGCTCTTGTTCCCTAAGGGGCAAAGAGGCTCTGCATCTGTTCCTTCTCGTGATACCCATGGAAACCTTTCCTCCTAACAACACAACTGCAAATTGCTTTTATCTCCTTCAGTTAGAGTTGAGAACTCAAGGAAAACTGACTAAAAGAAACTAGTTTCTCTTGAAAAGTTGAGCTAATATAATTTTGTCCTTAAACAAAAAAATATAATGACTAGCAGACAAAAAACCTCTATTCCTCCTCATAAGCCAGAGTGCATTCCCAACCCTCAGGCCCATTTTCACTTCCCAAATTTGCAAATCTTGAATCCAGCTTACTAGTATAGAGGAGGTTCTCTAGAACTTCACTGGGGAACTTTCTGGAACTCAACAAGTACAAAAAATTGAAAAAATAAAGGTGTATATGTGTCAATTACTTCCCATCAGTACTTTCAGCAACAACTTTAGAATGCATGTTAGATTCTAGGTTGTCATCACACTTAATGTCACCGTAGCTTTAAAGACAATCTTAAAACAAAAGCGGGCAGCAAACTTATCTGTTTTGATTATTACATTTTCATGGCCATGTTCTTACATAGTATTACACAACAATTATAATTTCTTGGTGCCAAATACAGTTAACAGAAGATCAGACCCTTTACTAAAATGTCAGAACTGAGTGTATTTTTTTCAGTTCATTATTTCCTTCTCGGTGAGTGCAGACACACTTTCTGCAGTAATTTTTCTACATCATATGATTCGTAATGGAAACATTTCACATTATTTGTCCACCTCTAAAAAAAAAAAAAAAAAAAAAAGGAAAGCTTGTTTCTAAAACGTAGGGCATTACTGTACTTTTTCTGGATTTGATTTGGAGTGGGGGTTAGGTTCTACTAAATTCACTGCCTCCTTGTGCCTCTGAGTTTCTGTCCCCACCCAGCCCCAACTTCAGAAGGAGATTCCCAACAGTATAGTCCATTTACTGAGTCTGAAGGCAGCTGAATTCCAATCTCCTGACATACCTGTGCTTTGCCAGAAATGAACCTTGGAGTCATGACACACAGTAGTTTAAACAAAAACATGCCCTTTACTCCGTTTAATTTTAATTATGTCAAGGTCAACTTGTTAGTCTTTTTTGGGGGGGGGAATTGAAGAGCAAGAATTTCTGGGCACCCCCCCCCAACCAAACAGAATTCAATTCTGCACAACAAAGTGTTAGGCTAAAAGGAACAAGGAATTTATTGTTGGGATGTACTCCTGTCTCCCTTGCCAGGCCTACACTTGCTCCCAAGACGTATCAAACAACTAAGTATTGCCACATTCTAAGAAGTACATGAGAGGAACCCGCTAATTCTCATTTTTACAAATGAAACGATTTCTAGTCACCTCCAATTCCTTCTAATCTTGCAGACAGAACTAAATGCCGTTTACCTCCTGAAATAAAACAAAATCGGGAATAGAGAGTCGTAACATACATACGAAGCACCCCTGTGAGGAGGACTTAGCTCTTTTTAATATCTGCCAGATAGCCCGGTTTATCTGGCTTAAAGTACAGAGCTGCGTTGTATCCAGAAGAGCAAAGGGCGGGTTTTAATCCGCGGGCACTTTCCAAAGAAACGTGGTACAAACATTTCTGTGTGTATCCGAAGGCATGTCCCGGCTCGCAGCCTGCTAGGGCATCTAGGGGGGTTTGGTTTACACGTCCTTGGGTGACGCTAGGAACCTGCAGATGTCCTCGTTACCATTGTGCAACAGGGCTGCAACCGAAGCTGGCTCGATTCCTCCTTCCACGCTGCTTTCCTCAGTGGAGCCGGGACCTTTTATCCAGGCGCGGCGATCTGGCCAAGGAACGGCCCTCCCAGGATCGGAGACCCGGGCGGTCCGGCGACCATCGGTGACAGCGGCCGGAGCCTCGCCGCTCGGCCTTCTCCCGAGCACGCGAGGTGCTCCTCAGATTTCCAGGGAATCCAAGCGCCAGCATCCCCTTCCTTCGCGTTTCCTTGTCCCCGGCCCAGCCCGGCTCTGCCCCTCGCGGCCGGGCCTCTCGCAGGGCACCCTCCGGCACGCCCACCTTCCCGGTCCAAGGCGGAATCAGAGCCCCCTCCCCCAACAGTCACGGAGCTACAGCAACAGTGAAAAGCTGTCATCTTTCTCGGGCGCACACGCACAGCCCCAATCCAGGCCGGAGCGCAGCTTGCAACACTTTGGTGGGTCAGACCAGGGACTGCAGGGTGGGTCGGCGCCGCTTACTTTCAGGCTTTTGTCCCCTCCCAGTGCCCACCCCATCAGCCCACCTCCCGGAGCACCGCCCCCGCAGTGCCACCAATCGCCACGCGCCATCGCCTCCGTAGTGGGCGGGGACAAGGAATGGGTGTGACCATATCCATAGCGGGCGGGGCCCATGGAGCTGCATTTTATGCGCTTTAGAGAGGCTAACATGTTGTCTGACACTCCGCCACGGAGGAATGCGGGCGCCACCTGCAGGTGAAAGCCTGCCCTAGGCAGGGGCCCAGAGTTCTAAAAGTCTGGCGCAGGCAAGCGCCCTGGAGCTACTGTCAGGCCCCTTTCCAGGCACTCTCAGTGTGCCCTAAACTGAAACCTGGAAGCCTTGTTTCTGCTCGTGGATACCTACAAACAGCCATTTCGCTTCAAAAAATGACTGCCAGCACCATTGTGAGGCCCTGTAAAATGCTTTTCTGTATCTATTAACATAATCATATGGTTTTTGTTCTTGGCTGTCAATATGGTGTATTGCATTTATTGACTGGCGTATGTTGAACCATCCCTGCGTTCCTGGGATGAATCCTACTTTGTCATGGAGTTTAACCTTTTTGATGATTGGCTTCATTCTGCTTGCCAAAGTCTTATTGAGGATTTTTACACCTGTGTTCATTAGGGAGGTTGGCCTGTAGTTCTCTTTTTTGTTCAAATCTTTCTCTGGTTTTGTTTTGGTGGTACCGGGCATCGAACTCGGGTCCTTGAGCTTGCAAGGCAGGCGGCGGAACCACTGAGCTAATGCCCGGCCCCCTTCTCTGGTTTTGGTATCATGATGATGCTTGCTTCCAGGATTAACTTTGAGGGTATCGCTTCCCTTTCAATTTCATTAAAAAGTTTGAGAAGTAGCAGCATTAGCATTAAGTCTTTGCTAATTTTTTTTCAGTGAATCCATAAGAGCCTGGGCTTTTCTTCATTGGTAGGTTTTTAATTACATTTTTAATTTCACTGACTCATATTGGTTTATTTAGAATTTATGTATCTTCTTGGCTTAGCTTTGGTAATTCATATGTATCTAGGAATTTGTCCATTTCTTCTGTGTTTTCCATTTTATTAGAATACAGATTTTGAAGTATTGATGATTTTCTGGATTTTGGCAGGATCTGTTACGATTTCACCCTTTTCATTCCTAATTGCATGGATTTGAGTCTTTTCTTTCCTTTTTTTGATAAGGTTGGCTAAGAGTTTGTCAGTTTTATTTAATCTTTTAAAGAACCAGCTCTTCTATTCATTGATTCTTTGTATTTTTTTCTTTGTCTCCATTGCATTAATTTCTGCTCTGATCTTTATAATTTCCTCCCTCCTATGAGTTTGGGGCTTTACTTGCCCTTTTTCTAGAATCTTGTGGTTCAACATTAGGTTGTTTATTTGAGCCCACT